CAGGTGTCCCTGGCAGCCCCTGCCTTGTCGGGCTGCGGCTGCCGTGCCCTGCCCACAGACCCCCTGTCGCTTCTCTGCGCGGTTGTCTCTTTGCTGTATTTATTTTTAGCGTGTATAAAACGTTTTGAATAATTTCTGAAACCCTTTTCTGGGCCCTCTGCTTTCATTTATTTTATTTATATGTGTTTTGACTGTCAGCACAGGTCAGAACCTAACCAGGGGGTCAACATACTCAGCTCATTCCTTACAAAATTCAGCCATCCGACTTTTTCAGCTGCTTCACCTTTCTTTGCTCAAACACTGGTCTCTTTTTATATCTTCCTGAATATTTTCTTTCAAGTTTTGTTGGTTTTTTGGCCCTGGTGTGTCATTTGTTGTGTTTTGTCTCTTTTGTGTGAAAAATAAGATTTTCCTCTGTGTATTGGAGCTATATGGAATATGTACCTAAAAGTATTTCCTAATTTACAAGTAAAATATTTATATTAAAACTTTAAAATGTGGATGCCTAAAGTTAGTTCCTTGAAAGTACTTGGCCAGCTCCTGACATCTGTGTTTTCCTGGAAGTCCAAACTAGATCTGGTTAGATATCTTAGTACAGATCTTGGGATCCTTGTGACTACCAAATATGCAAATCCTTGTCTTGAATTGTTCTCATGCATTTATAGTGAAGGCATAAATTACCAAATAAATAGAAGCAGTCTTAATCCATAAAGCAGTATTTTATATCTAATTTGAGCATATTGCAAAGCGTAAAGGTGGATTTCCATGATGCACAGTTTACCTGTCAGGAAATCACCTCTTGCAGTGTTCTAGTTGGCTAATAATTTGCTGACTTCTTCTCTCCTAATTGTTACAGTTACTTACTCTTATCTTTTTTCCTTTTTTTTTTTCTTCTCCTTCCACATGCTGCTAACCTGACTTCTTCTCTCCTAATTGTTACAGTTACTTTTATCTTTTTTCTTTTTTTTCTCTTCTTCCACATGCTGCTAACCCAGGGAGCTGTTAGTGAGGTAAGGCCTGAATCAGTTTTGTCAAGTTTTATTTGTGACGTGTGTACTGGCCATGTATTGGAACTGTTGCCTTTGTATTATATTCAGGGCAGGGGGGTTGGACCAAATGGCCTACAAAGGTCCTTTCCAGCCTCAGCTATTCTGTCATCCTGCAAATCCCAAACTCTTGATTTACTTCCAGCTCTAGAAGTAAAATAACTTTTCTTCACCAATAATATTGATGCATTGTGATAAACAGCGTAGAAACTTGATTTAAATTAAGAACTCTAAATATTTAATCTGATAATGGGGCAGAGGGAGGAGGGGATCATGGTTGCTAAATCAAACATGCAACAGAGTAGGTAGCAAAGATGAATTGAGAAACTTCTCCTGACTTTTTGCCAAGCTTCATACCTACCAGTCAGACCCTTTTTGGAGACAATGACCTGGACATTCTCAAAATATTGAAATAATGAACCTTCAGCTAAATGTATGCAAATTCTATGGTTGAATGAGCTAATGAAATTTACGTGTAACTTGGTTAGTAGTACGATTTTTCCACTGAAGTTGTAGCGCATTCCTTATGCTATGGCCACAACAGGGACAGATGAGCATTGAATCTGATGCTGCAGTGAAACTCAATAAAGTTATCTAAAAATACAAGATGCTCATTAGTTACTAGCCTGTGCTTATTGTTTAAACAGAACAGTAATGTGTTTTTAAACATCCTTCTTTTCTCTCCCCTATCATGCCACCCTTTCTGTTCTGTATTTCATGTATCCTCAGGTATGTCACCTTTGACATTTGTATATAATTTTCAAATAGTGGCTGTGCTGTTACCCATTTACATGATACTCTCTTTCTTCATTGTTATTGTCTTGCACACCCCCAACTTCTCTTCCTATTGAAACAAAAGAGTGAGAGTAGTTCATATTCCAGACATTTGCTGGGTTGTTTTGTTTTGGTCTATTGGATTTTTTTTTTTTCCCCCTCAAATAAATTTTTTGTTCTCTCAAGGCAAAATTCCAGTCAGTGCAGACAGCCATCAAAATCTGCATTTCCTGTCTCTGTTTGTATAGGCAATCTGGCATGTGAAGGGAAAAATTAACTATTTTTGTGGTTTTGATGTTCTTCAGTCTTTCGAAACTTACTGGTTTTATTTTAGATAATCAAAGGTATTACAAAGTTAAAATTCTGTTCTCTTTTTCTAATCTTAATTTTAAATACTGGATTTTTAAAGAACTTCTGGCACTTGCATACAAAATAAGTTCTCTAGTATTATAAGGGTACACCACTGGTGAGTTTAATTCACAAATTATTTCAGTTTGGTAGTACTGTTAGAAATTATTTGAGATGATTAAGGAAGTGGAACGTCCTCCTTATGAGGAAAGGCTGAGGGAGCTGGGTCTCTTTAGCTTGGAGAAGAGGAGACTGAGGGGAGACCTAATTAATGTTTAAAAATATGTAAAGGGCGAATGTCATGAGGATGGAGCCAGGCTCTTCTCAGTGATGCCCAACGATAGGACAAGGAGCAGTGGGTGTGAGCTGGAACACAGGAGGTTCCACTTAAACTTGAGAAGGAACTTCTTTACAGTGAGGGTGACAGAGCACTGGAACAGGCTGCCCAGAGAGGTTGTGGAGTCTCCTTCTCTGGAGACATTCAAGCCCCGCCTGGACGTGTTCCTGAGTGACCTACTGTAGGTGTTCCTGCTCCGGCAGGGGGATTGGACTAGATGATCTTTCGAGGTCCCTTCCAATCCCTGACATTCTATGTAATTCTCCTATGTTTGCTTGGTAATTATGTTTAAATATTGCTCATGTTTTGTCTTTTTTTAGGCATCTCGAGTGATGGTAGCGTCGCGTAACTATGCAGACTTTGCAAGTGAAGCTACGTTTGAAATTAAGGTGAGGAGGCTGAACACTTTATACTGGCGTTCTCTGTAAGAGAATGTTGTAGATTTTGGCATGATGGACTTGCACCCTTGTCTTTTCAATTAGAAAAATACTATTTGAATTTCCAGAACCAAACCCCTCACTGTCTGGCCGGGTTTCTAAATGCAGCTGGAAGTACTGTGCTTGGCAGTGTGTAGTAATGTTACTCGTTTCTTAAGAATGTGAAGTTGTGATTCTTTGCAGCTGCGATACTGCAGTGCAACTGTGAGAATGGAGTCACAGAGGAGCTAAAGAACCTTTTCTGTTCTGAGGGGAAGAGTATTAGTGTTTCCTAAATGCTTTTAAAACAAATAGCTGGTGTTTGCTGCCTACCCTTCTTTCTTTTATGGGTGCTGTATCCCAGATGCTTTTAAAACAAATAGCTGGTGTTTGCTGCCTGCCCTTCTTTCTATCTCCCTTTTGTTTATGGGTGCTGTATCCTAGATATGCAGCTGATTGAGGTCCATGCGGATTTTGGAGGAAAGAATATGGCCTCCTTTTCAATGCCTGGCTTGGTGCTGCTTGAAAAATGTGCATTATATTCTGTCAGCTTTCCACAGTGGAAAGTCTTAGTAAAAAGTGATGCTTCCATTGGCAGTAGCTTTTGTGCTGGCTTTTCTTTCAGGAATTGATAAAGTCTCAAAGAAATTAGTTCGTTTTCTTTTACCTGCTCCATGTTTGTCTGTGCCTGTAAAGCATTAAAATTGTTTCACAGGCAGAAGGGAGGGAAAATGTTTATATGAAAAGTCATTTCTGAGTAGGTACAAGGTTTAATGTTTGGTCCTGTGTTGATTACAAGACTTCTAAGTTTCTATTGTTATGTGAACTCTGAGGCAGAGCTGTCTTAAGAGTAGTGTGCACATTATATCAAACCCATCTAGGTATCAGTGGATTTGCTCTGGAGAGACTTTGCTTTAATATAAACTGTCTTTAATCTGTGTAGCAGTATTTTGGCCATTTAATCTGCACTGACAGAGTAATTTGGTCTGTTCCACTGAACTTGAGTGATTTTATTATTTTTTTAATTTTGGTTTGTATGGGTAACTAAAACCAGCCCTCTATGCACCTCTATTAATAGAGTCCATGGTTTGGGGAGGAAGTTATACTATACACATGGTGGTTTAACTGGATGGGTGGGTGGTACTGCAGTGGTTTATTAGTGCTTGTTAGAAGAGATGGTATAAGAGGTGAAGTCCAGTCTTAGGACCAGATCTTACAAACTCTTTCACAAAAGAAACTCTATCTTGTCTTTTCACTAAGCCTCTGTAGCTCCTACCAAGTATTTGGCATGCAGCAACCATGGAGATGTGCTTTTCCTGTATTTTGTGAGGACTTTAGTTCATCTACGGCTAGTAGGAATGACAAGGCTTCATTTCATGAGTGGAAATCTGTCTTTATTAAAAGTAAAGCTTTTGTTTCCCTGAATTTGGAAATAGTGTGCAAACTTTACAGTTATTTTGACCTAAGAATTTAAGTTTTGCTGGCTTTCTTTTTAGAAGATATTAAAATCTGAATTTGAAAATGGCACATCATAAAAAAGTTAAGTGATACTCATAAATAGGAGGAATTACTTTCAAGAAATGACTACTTGTTCAACTTTGCAGAAATGTGACCTCCATCGCCTGGAAGAAGGCCCTAGTACCACAGCAGTGATGACTCGAGAAGAGGGGCTCCATTACTACAAGACAATGCAGACCATACGACGCATGGAGCTGAAGTCTGACCAGCTGTACAAGCAGAAGATTATCCGTGGCTTCTGCCACTTATATGATGGTCAGGTAAGAATTTTTTTCCAGGAGGTTTTGTGTTGTCTTACCTTCCTTAATGTGGGAATTGGAATAGAGTGGAGAGTAAAACTAGAACTGAGAATCTATGTACAATATCCGAAGTTGTAGCTGGGTCTGTGACTTAGTTCATTATTTCTTCAAGAACTATGTCTTAGCACAGGAGGGAATTCCTGAGATCTTGGGACAGCATGCTGTAGGAAGAGAGAGAAGAAAAGGTGTAGCTGAAGATCAGCTGAATGTGAGGAATGAGCAACTGCAGCATACTAAATTAAACATATTTGGAGGCCCTCATCCTCCTCAAGCTTCACTGATGTTTTTTTGTTCCAGTATCTCACAGATCATGCGCCCACTAAACAGCAACAGTCAGGAGGAGGGACTTCATGAACTTAGTGAAACTTTGCCATCTGTCCACTCCCTCCTGCCATATTTGAGTTGCAGTTGTTTAGATGTTTCATCTGGGAGATAGGTGCAGAAAAAGGCCACAGATCTTTGCAGCTTCTGGTTTCCCTTCCTGTCTGCTTTTGTTAGTCAAAATCAGTACAGGTTGGAATTCAGAGCCCGAGGCTGTTGTAGCTCCAGGTTCTGCAAACACAGGCCTGCCACAGCTTGGGATCTAAGGCAGTCTCCTGTATCTGTGCTCTTCCTGTTTTCTGCTGATACTTGGAAGTAGTTGGGACCATAGCCAGCCCTTGCCATGCTGCTGACTGTGAACGTTGTGTGCTTTTCTTCATTCCTCTGTAACAGGAGGCTTGCTGTGTAGGGCTTGAAGTTGCCATAAAGCCTACAGACCATGTGATAACAGCTTACAGAGCTCATGGCTTTACCTATGCCCGAGGAGTGCCTGTTCGAGAGATTCTTGCTGAACTTACAGGTTTGTGCAAAGTGAAATGAGGATTTGCATGCTGCTGTACTTGTATCAGAGTTTTTTATTCAAATTCAAAATTATGTTGATCCACAAAGTATACTGGGGGTTCAGAAGCAGTTTAGTGACGTAGCAGAATAAATCAATTTTATAACTTCATGATGCAACCACTTTTTACTACAAAATGTAAGTCATAAGGAATATTTAAGTACTGGTACTTCTAAAGCACAAATTCAGAAAATTTTTAATACCATGTGCTGTATTTGTTGTGCCGTAGCAGCTTGTCTCAATGGAGCTTGCTGGTGGTAGGCACTTGTTCTCAGTAGGACAGGGCATTACCCTCCCTGGGACACAGACTTGGACTTTCCAAATTTTGCTGCTGAAGTCTTAGGAAGACTGGTAAACACTGCCTGCAATGATAAACTGAATGGCTTGGGAAAATTTAATTGCAACAAGAACATGAAGTGGCAATCTAGACAGGTCTAAGATTTTGCAGAAAGGAGAGGTGGTGGTTATTCACAATAGGGTTGTAAGTGGAGCAGGGGAGAGAAGAGAGTCAGTCTGCTGACGGATGCTAGAAGTAAAAAATGAACAAGGAGTTTGAAGACCTTTATGAATCCTTGGTATAGTCTTGGTCTGAGGATTTGTGTGCTTGAAATGTGAATACAGGGAGAGCACATTTTGAAGGTAGAGAAGAGGTCTGGTTTCCTAGACTGACAATGTGTGTGTGTGTTTAGAATGCACATTAGTAATGTCCAGAGAAGCCCAGAATCTCGTGGGTGATTGACTTGCCAATTGTTGTTGGTTACTGATAGAGAGTAGATAGGAGATTGCCACAACTGAAGTCTGCTGTTGGCCCTGAAACTACAAATATCAGTGATGATATTGATTTATTTCTTTTCACAACATGCATCATCTCCTATAACATGCATTGTGCTTGGGTTTAGTGGGGTTCCTCTAATTGGGAAAGAGCAGCCACAGTACAGAGGTGGTTGTTCCAAGAACTGACGCTTGGGGCAGGGTTCTAGAGAGGAGTGCTGCTAGAGCTGATTCTTGCAAACAAAGATCTTGACTGAAAATGCCAAATCGAAAGACAGCCTGAGTTACAAGGACCTGGAAATGACAGTTTAAAAGTCTTTGAAGGAGCAGGAAGCAGAGTCTTCCAAAATAAGAGTAGTAGATAAGATCCTACAGGAAACAAACTAAACTAACAAACTGAGAAATGGTTTTGTGTTTGAAGAAAAGTAGAAAGTACAGCAAAAAGTGAACTTGGTCAATCAGGAGTTCATAGCTAAAGTACAAGAAAGGATTGTACAAAAAGTAGAGGGAGATTACTGAAGTTTAATTGCACTTAAGAAATATAGTTTTCTCATTAAAATTAGACCTTTTTCCCCCCCCCCCCCCCTTTGGCCCTAGCTGGCAGAATCCATAAAAGCTCACGTAAAAACAATTCATAAGCATATAAAAGGTATGAGAAAGGCCAATAATATCAGTGATCCACTATTAAGTAAGAAAGAGAAGTACAAATTCCAGAAAGAGATCCAGAATTCAACTTCTAAAATAAAGTTTTTTCAAGGCTAAGGCAAAAAAAGCAACCAAACGAGCTGTGCTTATTAGAAACTAAATAGAAGCCTCTGTGGCTACTAACAAGATGGATTAGAGTAAGAATTGGAGTGGGCTGATGAGAAATTCTGTGTTCCTAGAACAGCTTGTTTAAACAGGGTTTGTTGTAATGCTTCATGCACCACCAGTTATCTTCAAACTACAGCTTGAATAAAGCTGGGCCAGGTGACTTTTTGATGTTTATCCTGGGGTGGGGAGTTGTTGATTTTTTTTTGGTTTGTTTTTTTTAAATGTCCTATCTGTAATTTTTACTTCTGGTTATTGCCACAGGGAAGACAAGTGTAGGTTGTTGCAAGTAATTTGGAACAATTTTTGTATATTTCTCACAGAAGCCAAAAATAATAAGGACTGTAACTACTACTACTTACGGATGATACAATATGAGAAATAGAGACCATGTTGGCTATTAAAAAAACACAACATATGTTTATCAGAAAGTGCTTTTATGTTGTAGGACACTGAAACTTCTTGGTTGGTTTTAAAATTTCTTTTTAATTTCATTCTCCACTTCCTGAATTATCTTTTCATTATCGTTCTATTTTTTTTTCCTTCTCTTATTTTTTGGGATATATTTAACTGTAAATTCTTTGGGAAGAGGCCATTGTATCTTAACTCCACATAGATCTAATGACAACAACATGGTCTTAGTGTTACTGCCTTTAGGAATTGAGTCACATGTTCCCTTTTGTATAGTATTTTTCCTCCGAAAAAATAAATTGCTTGTTATTCATGTTTCAGGTCGAAAAGGAGGGTGTGTGAAGGGAAAAGGAGGATCAATGCATATGTATACCAAAAACTTCTATGGTGGCAATGGTATTGTTGGTGCTCAGGTATATACATGGCTTCTACTTTAAAGCACAAGTTGAATTTGGCTCATGTTCTGTGCCAGTGTTTCCTCTCAGTTTTTGTGGTGTGAGCTTGTATGCAGATACCATTGCTCTACGGCTATTAAATCTGTTATATCTTTATTCTGGTTTGCTCAGTTTTGTGAACTGTAGCAAAAATGAATCAAATTGAGAATATAGTTAATGTTTACATTTTGGCTGTAAAACAGATTGGAACAAATGGAAGTGGGTTGGTAACAACTTGTCTGTTGAGCAGATCTCTGACAGTGTAAATGTCTCTTTACTGTTCACAAGCTGTGAACCTGTCTCCAGCTCCTCTAAACTTTGTTCTAAAATTTCGGTCTGTCCTGTACCCTGTGATAGGTTCCTCTTGGAGCGGGAATTGCGCTGGCCTGTAAATACTTTGGTAAAAACGAAGTCTGTCTGACGTTATATGGGGACGGTGCAGCCAATCAGGTAAACGAGCTTTGTCTTACATGGCTCTGTGAGGAGGAGTGTGACTGTGGGTGATCAATTTTCCTTCTGTGAACTGTGAGCTCTGCCTTTCCCCAGGGTGGTGGGAGAGCACCTTTCACCCTGCCTGAGTAGTACCTGCAACCCAGGCAACGTCTGACATGGAACTTACACCCAGATCGTTGTATTGAGCTTTCTGCTGCAAGGATGCTTTATTAACGGAGTCCACTGATACTGAAAAAGCAATCCTGGAGAGAGATGACAATGTACTGCCTCTGTCCTACAGTTCACTGCAGTTTTTCTTAGGGCTTTTGTTGTGAAGTGCTGTTCACTCAGGCAAAATTCATGTGGGTGGGCAGGCATCTTGCTAGTTTTGGACACTTGCACCTCTTACTTGTGCTGTCCTAGGCATTTGAGTAGGAGTGTTTCCAGTACTGTGTAGTCCTCAGAGGGGTGATTCAGCTCAACCGTTAAGAAGTTGATTAGTTGATGCTCTTTATGTATCAGGAACGTAGCAAGTGCCTTGATTTTATTTTATTTTTATTTTAAATCATGTCTGGGACCTGTGTAAATGTCTGTCCTTCCCCACCCCCATTTTGAACTCTGCCCTTGTCACTGGAGTGGAGAGAAAGCTTCTCAGCTCCTTCCCTTCTGAAGCCCCCTAGATAGGGAGTGAGTGGGGCTAATGGTTAATCATGTGAACACTGTCATGGGAGGAGGAGTTTCCAGTTACTCATTACCTCCTTTCCCGTTGCGCATCGCTCACCTGTGTGTGACACCCTGAAGCCTCTGCTGTAAGGAGACCTCTGAATGATAGCAGTGAAGATGACAGTGCTGCTGAATAGGGAGAAACTTGTAACTTACATTTCTGAAGACAGAGGAGAGGACAGAGCGTCTTGCAGAGCCACTCTACCGTTGACATTCCAGCTGGTCTCTTCATATTATCAGCAGAGACATTAAGCCAGATCAGAAATTGGTGGTTTAGAGTGTCCATAGAATTCACCACCTTCAAAACAGGTGGTTTTCCCTGTCTTTGACTTAGGTAGCAAGGCCGATGCAGTCACTGTGGTTCAACTTTAACTTTTCTGTAGCAGCATCCTGCCAGATTAATCAGTTGTGATTTTTTTTTTTTTTTTTTTTAATCATAGTTTGGGTTGGAAGGGACCTTTGAAGGTCATCTAGTCCAAGCCCCCTCCAGTGAGCAGGGACATCTCCAACTAGATCAGGTTGCTCAGAGCCCCATCCAGCCTGAGCTTGAATGTTTCCAGGGATGGGGCTTCTACCACCTCTCTGGGCACCCTGGTCCAAAAAATTTCTTCCTTCTTCTTTCTTCCTAGTTTAAAACCATTACTGCTTGTTCTAGCGCTACAGGCTCTACTAAAAATTTTTTGTCGCCATCTTTCTTGTAGGCCCCCTTTAGGTATTGAAAGGCTGCAATAAGGTCTCCCTGGAGCCTTCTCTTCTCCAGGCTGAATAACCCAGCTCTCTCAGCCTGTCCTTATAGGAGAGGTGTTCCATCCCTCTGATCATCCTCCTGACCCTCCTCTGGACTCTCTCCAGTAGGTCCGTGTCCTTCTTATGTTGGGGGCCACAGAACTGGATGCAGCCCTCCAGGTGGGGTCTCACCAGAGTGGAGAGTGGAGTAGAGGAGCAGAATCACCTCCCTTGACCTGCTGGCCACACTTCTCTTGATGCAGCCCAGGATACAGTTGGCCTTCTGGGCTGTGAGGGCCTGTTGCTGGCTCATGTCCAGCTTCTCATCCCCCAGTACTCCCAAGTCTTTCTCCGCAGGGCTGCTCTCAATCCCTTCAGCCTCCACCCTGTATTGATGCTGGGGATTGCACCGACCCAGATGCAGTTTGGCCTTTATGGCTGTACCTGAAATACTTCAGTTAAAGTTGAAGGTTTTGTGCTACCCTAACACAGGTACTGAAATAGGTTTAAAAATTAAGTGCTATAAATTATTAATTAAGGTGAAAGTTACCTTATATAGTGTAGCTTCTCTTTGATTCCGGCTGAGCTACAGCAGGTGGCTGGTTTCAGATCACTGTCAGTATTACAGCTTCTCTTAGATAAACCTCTGCAAGGGAATGATTCCCAGTAGAGCCTAATGCTTGAAGGCTGAGCTCCCTGTCTGGGTGTGACTTTTTTCTCTTTTTCTTTCAGGGCCAGATATTTGAAACGTACAATATGGCCGCCTTGTGGAAGTTGCCTTGTGTCTTTATCTGCGAGAACAATCGGTACGGAATGGGAACTTCGGTGGAAAGAGCTGCAGCCAGTACTGACTACTACAAAAGAGGGGACTTCATTCCAGGGCTCAGGGTGAGGACAACCCCAGCTTTTTTTTGAGGGGGGGTGGAAGTGGGGTGATGTGCATGCACAGACTTGCACAATACATACATATGTGGTTTTTTATTTATACATATAATTATTTTTTTAAATATAGGAAACTTTGAAAATGAATTATTACCGCACTTGTGGCAGTACTGAAATAAAGTTTGGGGTTTGGCATTTTCTTGCCTCAACTTGTAGTTTCTGTTTATCAGGTGGATGGCATGGATGTTCTCTGTGTTCGAGAAGCGGCAAAGTTTGCAACTGAGTACTGTAGAGCTGGAAAAGTAAGTCTGTAATCGTCATTCCTTTTCCAGAGGTGAAATTCTCAGCCAGACTATTACTGCATAAAAGGTTCCTCATCTAGCCAGTTTTCTCCAGTCACTGCTGAAACTTTGTTTGACCTGTATTTCCTTTTTTTTTCCTCCACAGTACTGAATCTGTAAGCAATTGAGTGGTTCTTTAATTTTGTTGTAATTTATTAACATGCAATTGGTATGAATGAAGCATTTAAAAAATATACATATATCCTGGTACTCTGTTCTCTTTTTCCCCATTTCTACCCCAGTTGAATTCTGTTGTGAAAGGTGTGCTGACTGTCAGGCAGTTGTGTTCTTTGTGAAGAGATTAATTAGGGGAAGCATCAAGGAAAGCAATAATCATTCTACATTTACCACAAATGGAAAGTGAAGTAAAAGTTTTGTGGGTCAGCATTAGTGTCTGTCACCCAAGTATGATACACTGGTTTTGAAGATTTTTAATATTTGGTGAAATGGTGTTTATACTGGGAACATACAACAGAAGGAGGTTCATACAGAAGAGTAAGGTTCTGTGAGTTAACAATCTGACAGTGAAACAACAGGCAGTTTGAAATAGTCTGAGCAGTGGTAGAATGATATTGGAAGGGAAGAAATTGTTTAATGCGGCTTAATAAGAACATGGGAGTAAATGCTTACAATATCAACATAAGCTTTCATTTGAAAAGCATTAATTTTACTAGTTGTGATAATGTTATATAAATTAAACTGAGAAAAAAACATTGAATTAAAATAATTAATCACTGGTGCAATTCATGTACAGCAAATACTTGCTGCTGTAACAACAACTCGGTCACTCAAGGTGGCAACACTGTATTTTTTTCTTTTTAAGGGTCCTATTCTGATGGAGTTACAGACATACCGTTATCATGGTCACAGTATGAGTGACCCTGGGATAAGGTACTGTGTCATTCTTCCTTGGAATTGACTTAAAACAAATAAGTATTGATCGTCAAAATCTTGAAACTCTTGGATTCAATGTTTAAATCCACTGTGAAGTGCATATTAAGGTTATGATGAAATTGCTATGAGCAGTCTGATTACTCATCTCGCTGCTCAGCTGATAATCCATGGCCTGTAACATACTTGTTTTACTTGCAGTATTAAGAGATTTAGTTATAGAACAAGGACAAAGTCAGTTAAACTTCTGGACTTCCTGTTAATGGATTCTGCTTCCAGTGTGACTTTATGATGTGGTCTAATTAAGCTTTGACTGAAAAGCAGCATGCTGTTCTAGGGCTTTTAGAGTATTTGAAGTCCTGTCAGCTAAAATTATAGGAACAGTTTGGACTGTCCAGTCATGTGGAACCCTTCCTAAAAATATAAAAATACGGGTGCCAAAAAAACCCCTCTGGTGTTGTGCCAGCTGACGTACCTGAATTGATCTGCTTGAAGTAGAGGTGTATCCCAGCACTTTGTTGGAACTGTGTAGTGAACTGGAAGCATGCAGCAAGACATCTAGCCCTGCTTAGGGGAGGGGGGAAGGAGGAAATATGGGCCCTTGTAGTAACTGTCTCAGGCTGGGATTGCTCCCCTTTTCCTGCCCATATTATACTTGAGTCTGTTCAGTTGTCACAGATCCCAGAAGGGTTCTAGAGGTAGCTTTGCCACCCTTTGAGTGATTAATGTTGCTGTATTTTCACTGCATTCCTGACAATTCTTTGGTCACACCTTCTTTTAAAAATGAGTGTGTCCAAAACCTCACCTTTATTTGAGGATACCACTGAAGAGGTTCATATCTTTGCTTGTCTTACTCCTAGCTATCGTACTAGAGAAGAAATTCAAGAAGTGAGAAGCAAAAGTGATCCCATTACTTTGCTGAAGGACAGGATGGTTAACAATAACCTTGCTAGCATTGAAGAATTAAAGGTATGGCTTTTAGTTGCTATTTAAGCAATTCATACACTAATGAGCACTAAAAAGCACATCACAGGGCAGTGTGCATCGCTTGTTCTTTGAAGGTCCTTAAAGTTTGTTTTCACAGAATCACAGAATGTCAGGGATTGGAAGGGACCTCGAAAGATCATCTAGTCCAATCCCCCTGCCGGAGCAGGAACCTAAATGAGATCACATAGAAAGGTGTCCAGGCGGGTTTTGAATGTCTCCAGAGAAGGAGACTCCACAACCTCCCTGGGCACCCTGTTCCAGTGCTCTGAACTTGTGAAGTTTTAACTTCACTTTTATTGGTGAAGGTGAAGTTTTGTTGCAGACCAACTAAGGAAGTTCCACTCTGCTGGGAAAGCATTGTGCTTTTGGGTGCTGAGTGTAACTAAGAGGTGCAAGGCTGTGTGTGCGGGTGGTGGTGTTTCACATACTGCTCTTGTCAAGTACTAACACGTAGAAATCAAAATTACCCAGGCTTTCTTGACTACCTAAAAAGGGGGTAAATTAGTGATAGTGAAAAATCCTAGTGAAGGAGCCAGGACCCCTCTGATGCTGACACTCTGTGTTTTGCAAAATCAGAATTGAAAACATAGTGTATAGACAGTGTTAACACTAATTCTGACCAATATTTAATAATTGTGCTTAAATTCCAAATTCTGCTGCTTTTTTTGAGCTGTCTTATAATAAGCATCCATTTTTGGTTTAGGAAATTGATGTGGCAGTAAGAAAGGAGATTGAGGAAGCCGCTCAGTTTGCTACCACTGATCCAGAGCCACCATTGGAAGAACTAGGTAACCACATCTACTTCAATGAGCCTCCCTTTGAAGTGCGTGGCCCAAACCAGTGGATCAGGTACAAGTCTGTCAGCTAAAGGCCTTTTTGTTTGCATAACTTATTCATAAGAATAAGTAAATGCATTTACAGGAACTGTAATGACTCCAAAACAAACCTTAAACTTATTT